TTTAATTCATTGAGTTATCCTCTACTTGGAATCTGATACAGTTTTTTCTTATCTTAACCAATAATAATTTGTAACCAATTCTCTTAAATGATGGCAAGTATTTGTAACCCATTGAACTGAAATGACCAAAATCCATGTATTTTGTGTGTGTATGTGGAAACAAAATCATAATTTTTTAAGACGTAATGTATCTTTAACATTGTTTCTAATCATTACCAGGACAGAGGAGGTTTAACATGGGAAGCTAATAATGAACTTGGCTTAAGAAGGAAGGAAGGGGGATTTAGATTCAGAGTGTGAAGGCAGTAAACTCCCAACTGCCCCCATCTCCCCCACCTCTGCCTGCCTGTAGAGAGAATGCATTTCCAATCTTCTGTGAGAGCCTCTCCTGTAGGCTAATACCAGCCCTGCCCATCCTGGCCCTGAGTCTGTTCCAAGTTCCTGTGAGGGAGGCATCTGCCTGCCCACCCAGGGCCTCTCCTGCAGGGTCTGCCTGCTCTGGGAATTCACCTCCCTGCTTTCTTGGGGAGGGCCCAGTCTCAGAACTTCCAAGTGATAAGCACCCAACATGTGGCCCTGCTGATGAGCTTCCCTCACCTGCCAGTGCTGTGGGTCTGATAGCAATAAGGGAAGCTAGTAGACAGAAACAAGAAACATTTACATAGACATAAGTGCCAGAGGACCCAGTGGTTAAAGGGTTGATTCCCTCCTTGATCAAGGGGAACAGTAGCTCTTATGGGAAGGGCAATCTAACCAGGATCAGGAGTTTCTCCTCTCTGCCTCTGTGTACCTTCACAGCTGGTCCTCCCCTTAGGGCAGAGTTTGTGGGAAACATGGGGAGCTCTTCCTTGGCCAGCATCAAAGGTTGCTTTGGGAGGCCAAGTAAACATTGTAAGAGGCCCATTCTGCACCGCAAAAGGTGACAAACTTCCCCTGGTGAATCCATCATTCTATTGTGAGCAGTGGATCACACATCCTTTCAGTATGCTAGGTGAAAGTCCAGGGAGGAAGAGGGTGACTGTCCCATGGCATCCATCTTAGTCAAGTCAACAATGAGAACAATGAACACATTACACACAAGACCAAGGGCACACACAAAACTTTGCCCCAAGAGACAACCTACAAAATTCCAAGAACAATGACAGCCTGATGTGCTCTGGAGAGAGCAACCCTCCAGGCTCAGCCACACCAAAAATCTTCCAGACTCGAGACTCTCTGTCCTCAGTTAAACAGACCTTGGGACTACCACAGCCCCATTAACAGGGTCCAGAATTTCTTCTGAAATCCTGTGATCCTGTTTCCAGTGTGTCCACTGGCTGCCACTGGTATTGACCATTACTGGACCATTTCACAGATCTACTGTGCCTCAGAAAATGAACGTACAGAGTCACACAAAGACAAGGACAAGCAAAGACACAGAAACTTACCAGCCAGTTAGGAAACCCTCAGATCAGGGTCTAGGGGTAGCAGAGGATCCAGGATGAGGCCCTAAATGTTGTGCCCGCATCGCAAGACCCCTGAGCAAGACCACCACAGAGCCCATATCCTATGCAAGCACATAGGGGGTTTATTAACAACAAAGCAAGCCCGGACTTGGTCTGTGTCCAACACTCAACACAGCAGGTAGAGGAGTGCTGTGGGATGGTCTGTATGTCAAATTGCTCTGATTGGTCAATAAATAAAACACTGATTGGCCAGCGGCCAGGCAGGAAGTATAGGATGGGACTAACAGAGAGGAAAATTGAGACAACAGGAAGACAACAGTGCTAGCCGCCACCAGGACAAGCAGCATGTGAAGACACTGGTAAGCCACGAGGCAAGGTATAGATTTATGGAAATGGATTAATTTAAGCTATAAGAACAGTTAGAAAGAAGTCTGCCACAGCAATACAGTTTGTAAGCAATATAAGTCTCTGTGTTTACTTGCTTGGGTCTGAGTGGCTGTGGGACTGGCCGGTGACATAGATTTGTCCTGTGGGCAATGCAGGAAAACTCTAGCTACAGAGGAGGGCGGCCCTGAACATTCACTTTAAGGGGTTTATATAGGAAAAGTTTATGTGCAGAGGGTTACTTCTCAGGATTGGATGAGGGGACTAGGGGTGAGGTGTTTCTTTGAAGTTACTGGCTGAACTATAAGGTAACTATGAGGTTATTAATGGCTAACAGGATGCAGGGTATCTACAGAAACATAAATTTTACTCCCTATGTCCTGATCCCAGGATATATACATTCAGATCTATTGTTTCAGTCCTATTTTCCCATAAAATCAATCTCCGGTTGGCTCTAAAACTGCTGGTCAGCAAATATCTTTAGAGGAGGAGGGCGAGAGGGCATCTTTCAAGAGGGCTCCTGGTTTTTCCTTTCAGTAGTAGTGTCTATTGTAATTCAAATAGCAAAAAAATACAAGGCCATAGCAAATAGGCAATCCAGAAGAGAAAACACAAAACCTGGTGTTCCAATGAGCATCATCCTGAATTTGGAATGTAGTATTATGAAGTCAGAAATAGATTGGGTAGTAAATTCTGTTGAGGAACAATTCTTCTAGTGTCCCATAACTTAACTCTGATAATATATAGATTTATAGCATTCAATTGATAATA